GGGGCTGAGCCCGCCGGGGAGCTGAAGGCAGCGCCAGCCCCGGGCAGCCTGCTCGGGGCTGAGGAGCAGAAGGAAGCTGGCAGAGATGTGGAGAGGAAGGATGCTTTGTCGGACGCTACCAAAGATCAGAACAAGGCAAAGAAAGAGGAGCCTGAGGAGGAGGCTGATATGAAAGCCGTTGCCACCTCGCTGGATGGCAGGTTCCTCAAGTTTGATATTGAACTCGGGAGAGGATCCTTCAAAACGGTCTATAAGGGCCTGGACACAGAGACGTGGGTGGAAGTTGCATGGTGTGAACTTCAGGTAAGCCGAGCTGATCCTCCTGTGGTTTTTCTGCTTTGTAAGCCTAGGTGCTAAGGGCAACGTGCCGGTGTCATCTATAGCAGCTCAGCGTTGAGCAGCCTTTATAGTCACCACTGCTGAGTATCCAGGGTCTAACTATAGCGCATTATCCTCATTGGCTCCAAATCTACCACCTTATGTACACTCCTCCCAGGCTTAACCCTCTCGGCCCTGGGATCTGACTGCCGATGCTAACGATGTTAGTGTAGAACCTGTCATATTGCATAAAAAGGTGTTAACGTTGGACCTGTCATATTGCATAAAAATGTCAGGAGATGAATCTCTCTGAATGTGCAGAGTGTGCCAAAAAGAGCTCAGTGGAGCTCCTCTCATCCCCTTACACCCAGCTGCTTCAGAATGCAGCCGCTGGATTTAGCAGAAGCAGAGCAGCAGGTTGGTGTTAAATAGACGCTAAACATAAATGAACTTAGAGGGCATTTGCAGGAGTGAACTTTCCTTTTGCTATCAATAGAAATGTATTACGGTTTTATAAAGATTGAAGACCTGCTGCCCCTTGACTTGCTCTTTCCCCTGCTCTGAAATTGTCACTGTCACCAGCTTCTTGTGAATCCAAGCTCTGAATGTACCCGAGTACTTACCTTTTTTTAGGTGTCATCAGCTAGTGCTTTAATTAGGTCAAAGACCTGTCTATCCAAATACCTTTTAAAAGGAAGATTTTAAATAAAAGATGTGATTTGCACTCTAGATCTCTAGAGTGAAGGTTTAGATACTGTCCTTTGCTGGTTTGGGACAGAGCTGTTACCCTTAGTGATTTTTATATTCTCACTTCTGTAAGAATGATGGTGTTATAGGATTAATTTTTCTTTGTGAAGCTTTTGGCATCTGTTACTTATCTCACTTCTGTTAGCATCCATTTGAATAAGACCTATCTAAGAGAAAAAGCTAAGACAGCCTTTTTCTTTTCTTGAGCTATTACTTAGTCTGAGTTACTCTGTAATTTTGGTGTGAACTGGAAGATTTAACTCTCAGTTATATTTTGGGGTCCTTAAACTCCCACTGTCTGACTGAGCCTTATGGTCTATGAGAGTATTTGAGAATAGCATGTGAATAATGTGATATCATAAGCCTGAGCTCCTGATTGTTTATTTTTTAATGTTGGCTCAATCTCCTGGCTTCCTGGGATAGGTGGGGATGGATGTGCAGCCTCATTGTCATTCCCTAATGATTTAATTACAGAATAGAATCATAATTCACTGCGGCATTACTTCCTTAATAAGAAGTATGGGGAGCACTGCTCAGTCTTCGTAATCCTGCATTCCCAGAGTTTTTATTAGACAGGGATGCAGAGCCACAGCAGCTGGGCAAGGTACAGCCTTGGGGCTGAGGACAGGCTGGGGAAGGGGCTCAGCCCCTCTCCCTGCAGCCTGGAGCAGGTCCTGGAGGGCTGATGGGGATGGGGAGAGGCTGTGGGATTGCCAAGGGAATTTAAAGGGGAACAGAGTGAGGAGAGCCTTGCCCAGGCCTGGTCTTTGTCTGGCATCTGCTTGAAACGAAATCCTGAGCATGTAAAGCTTTTACTTTGGCAGCCTGGAATTCGTTTAGGATGGTAACTGGGATGCTGTTGGAGGGAAGGTTGTCTGTAGGAAGAGGCTGATGTCCAACTGTCAGTCTGACCAGCACAGACCAGCTCTGTCACTGCAGAGCCATCGCACGGATCAGGAACTCGTCTTGTTGCCAATTTTCTCAGTATGCGCTAGCAGGGGAATTGGAATAGAGGTATTTTCAACATATTTTCTGTAACAGAATAGCTTTAACTATGAAAGATTGCCAAATATATCAGAGAACACAGTGCATTGGAATTCCTGTGTTTGGGTCATTTACACCTAAGAAAGAGATTGGGAAGGGAAAACTGTCGGGAGAAGCTTACCTAGTGATTTGTTTTCTTATTCCTAGTTACACTTGTTTAGGAATTCTTGAACTGACTGCATGTGAAGAAGTCTGTAATAATTCCCCAATTCCCACAAAATTCCATTATATCTGCTTCAGCTTAAATAAGATCTTACTACTAGATATTTTCAATTTAATACAGAACTTGTTCTAGACTTCTAGTTGTAGAAAGAAAACTTGAGTATTTGAGTGCTTTAGAGAAATTGGTGTGAATCCATAGAAGTAGGCAAGGGCTGCTGGTTCTCCTGGTCTGTTTGCTGTCCAGACTTGGAGGTGATGCCAGGTAGTGAGAGATGGTAATGAGTTTTGAAAGCCAGTACTTTGATCTGGCTTGAGAAAGTCTAACTGAATGACAAAAGTCTTTAATCACCATGGGATTAAAGTTTCTAGGGTGAGTTTGCATGAAGGAAGCAGTCAGGAGGAGGTGTGAATGTCTTGGGCTTTTTGACTTGCAGAGTCCTCTCTTGATGCAGCTAAGGAGTTTTCTTGGGGAAACATTCAGAGGGTGCTGTCAAGTAATCACTTGATTCATGGGATTTTGAAAACTTTCATGGAAGCTGTGCCAGCTAGATATGCCCCTGTTTGTCTTTTCCTCTGTAGGAATTTTGAGTGCAGATATCCATAGCAGGAGACTGAGGGGAAGCCATCGTCACTGTGCTGTTGAAGACAAAATGACTTCCTCTGCAGTCTCACACTGTCAAAACCCATCCCAGAGCCTCTTTGTGGAAAAATTGCAACAAATTGTACTTTGTCTTCCTTCTGGAGATGCACTGGTGCTTGTTACTTTTAGAGCTGGAGAGTTAAAAACGAACAGTATTGAGGTTCCATGCAGGCGTTAATCCTCTGTCCTTGCTCAGCATTTTTTTCAGCCCAGTTGTACTGTTGCCTGTGTGTCTGTCTTTTTTTTGTCCGTCTGTACAAAGACCTTGTGAGCCATTCTTGTTCAGTGGTTTTATTTCATTGAAAAGGTGGCTTTAGGGTTCAGAACCGAAATCGTGGCTTGGATTAGGGTAGGATCCAAATACCAACCGAACTAGATTGGGGGTTTAGACCTGTCTGAAGACGTGAAAGCTCTTGTCAAATTCTAGCTAGAAAATAAGTTTATTGTTCCTTCCTGAAACTGAAGTATTGCAGGAGGATTAGTCTGCCCTCGCAGTTTGGAAGGGTTTGCATTCTAAGATTTTTCAGCAGCCATAATTAATTTTAATTGGTGTTGTAAGATTGCTGTGTGGTGAGGCTTCAGCTAACAGTATTTCAGTGCTGCACTCATAAGTAAAATGTTGGGTCATGAATAAGGAATATGGGCTTTTGGCAGTCTACTGCTGGCAAGCCAAATAATCTCTTTAGTTAGATGAATGGTTCCAAAATCCCCATCCTATTTCCCCTTGGGAATGTGTATAGAAGCTGCAGAAGAGTCAAACCTGGTACTATCTCAAATGCAAAGACTTCATTGTACTTAATGATTCTCGCTTGGACTGGGAGTACTGAGCTTCTGTTGGATTGCATTTAATTTTAGGGTTTTTGACAGTGTGGGAAGGATGTTGCTGTACCCAGGGTGGGGAGGTGAGAAATGCCTGTTGGTGGATGCTGCAGGGAAGCCAGGCTTTTCCCACTGGTTGCCCAGACTTGTTCTCTAATCTGTGTACTTGATGGACACTGGTTTCTTCAGGACACTTGGCCTTCTGGTGCCCTGTGTGAGAATGCAGCTCTGTAGAGTGAAGAATGAGCAGAGGTCAGTTCTCCTTCCATACCCATATAGCTGAAATTAGAAATTGGGATATTGGAACTGTGTTTTCCTAATGGCCACCAAGCCAAGGGGCTGTAATAGTAAAACAACCACAGACATGCTGCTCTAAGCTGCAATTTCTTACTCCCCTTGGCAGCTTTTCTGCCAAGCTTCTGGTTGTATACTTCTGTAGGGAATTTTAGGGAAAAATGTAATTATTTTTACAAGATAAGTGTTTTGCTTCATAGCTTTGTATCACTTTTCCCTTTTTATGTTGTTACCGGTCTCTTCAAACTGCCTGAATGAAAGAAAAAATGTGAAAGTCCATTGTGTGTCTGAAGTCACTCAGGTGTTCAGGAGTTTCGTATTTTTGGAAGGCACAGATCTTAACTGAAAATCAAGTTCTAAATGTGTATGCATTTCTGAACATCTCTCATTTGATTCATATGGGAACAGATAATGTATTTTCTTGATCTGAGTTTGTATTCCTTAAATCAGAAGCTCATCCAGATTGGCTGACAGCTGACTGGTTTTAATATGGCATCAATAGTCTAGAAGTGTAACATGAGATCAGACTTTGTTTTAATGCAAGGTGAATAAAAAGGGCATTTAAAGTCATTAATACTAGACTTATGTGAACTTGCTAATTTTTGTTTCTAAGGCTGATAATCTTTTCTTGAAGCAAAATTTTTGGTTTGGTGAGTGGAGGAAGGGAGGAAAAGCATGCAGTTTATTTCTAACCATGTTACCTTATGGATGAGAGAAGGCTATGATGCCTGTGTAACTATTTTATTGCATTTTTAAGTGGTGTTTTCCATCTTATGCCCACTTAGATGAGCTGTGATAGTTGTTCAAAGCAATACCAAAAGTCCATGGCTCAGATGTTTTTGTGTAAGCAGATACATTTGCATGGTTAAAATGGGAGCTGGTAAAATGGACAACATAAAAGCAAGTTCACTTGGCTGTAGCTGGCAAATCACTTCTGGCAAAATTAAATTATTATGTGGAGTTAAATTATGTGGAAGGAGGAGGATGTCCTATGCTCCTGTATTAAGAATCCAGGGGATTTAAATTTTTTTTTTAAAGGCAATATTGTCAGGATTTTCACTGGTGTGGTAGTTTAGCTTTTGTTAGTCTCCTTTTTGGCTGACAATATTCATCTGATGTTGAAATAATAGCTGAGCACCATCTCTGCTGTTAATTTATTGCCCAGATAAACTGTGTAAATGAAAAGAATAATTTAGAAAATCTGCTTGGGAGAAGAAAGGAGGGAGACTGTATCTGAAAGCTTGAATCTGGTATTGCTGTGTGCTCATATTAAATTAAC